ATAACTCTCTTCTCTCTCTCTTACGGTAAGAGAGGGAAGAGAGAGATTTCCTATTGCTTTTGGTCTCCGTAGGTGGGAGGGGTTAAAGATAGAGAGAGAGAAAGTTGTTGTTGCTTTGTCGGAAAATCTTTTAGTCCCACATTGAAAGATTTAGAGAGGTAATGTGAGGGGGTTTGGACATTTCAAAAGGGGTGGGAAAGTTCGGGTCCCAAGTCGGGTATGGGGCGGGTCCACTAGTACCCAGACCCGTATCCGAGAATCTTTTCCATTATGAAGGACCCGGACCCTACCCGTGGGTCCAAGGTTTGGACCCATACCCGGACCCATATCGGGTATACCTGGTGGGTCCCAAGTGGGGTCCGGTTCCGGGTCCGGGTCCATTGCCAGCCCTATGTAATCACAACAAGATGTCTTGGCCATGCAAATCGAAATAAAAAGGTGGCCTCGACAAAATACCAGCACACTAAATGAATCTTAATTTAACTGCTCACATCCAAGATGCCCAAGTTCTCCACACCAACACATTCTATACAACAGCGAATATTGTAACCAGGTTCCTCTTATTATGCTCTCTTTCTGTGGCAATACAGCGCCAAACTCAAACGGCTAGTAGCCATATTTCTTCTGACATTTGATCACTTGTGTACTCCAACTTACATGGCATCTTGGGGCACCACTCAATGAATCAAGTATCAGCTGAAGTACAGGATCCACATCATTATGGAGTTATGATGAATTCAATCCCACTACAATGTCTCATTCATGCTCCTGGCACATTGCCATCTCCAATTCTGTCTCTGGCCATACGGTTCTCACAGGCACAAATGAGGTCCATTGCATTAATACCACATCAGATTTCTCACCAGATTAAGCTCTCTAACAATCAGCAACTCCACATAAAAATATCTCTTCATAGAATATGTCCTCAAACGATCTGCTTCACAGGTACGCTTTCAGAATTGACATAAAATTATGAAAAGCTCATCTAGCAAATTTCAAGAAAAAAGCTCATAATCTTTGAGGTAGTGTGTTTGTAAAAGATGGCAACGCATGGATGCTTTGGAGCAAGAAGGTCATAAATCATTTTATGTTTCCTACGCATATGTTGGGCTCACAAAAGAAGAATAGAGCCCTCACACACCAAGAGGTTGAGATTACTATTAACAGAAATCCTCCTGAAGTATCCTGCTAAAACAACTCCTACTTGTAACCTGAATATGGACTTTCTCGGCTACAGACAACATTATTCAGTCATATGTCAATTGCTTCAAACAACCTCATGCAATATGGTAGCAGTAAATTGATCCTCAAAGGGAATGGCTTTGCCATGCTGCAGGCTATTACGCAACTTTCAAATACTACTAAGTTACTTAAGGTGTAAAAGAGGTTTCTTTTTTCTTTTTTTCTCTGTTTTTTTTTTTTTCAATGTCGACTTTAGACCTGGTGAGGAAAGAACTCTGGACATCACATTGTGGCACCCTCCACCACTGCCTAGAGCCCCTTCTCTTAAGGTATAAGACAGAATAAAAAGCTGCATCCTACTGGGCAAATTCCAGTTAAAGACATTGTATTTGTTCAGATAGGGTTGGGGTAATATAGCTTAATCCCCACCAATATGGCAACTAGTGATACTCCAAAAATTGGCCATAAGAAATTATAAGATCTTCATACACATGAGATAAAGAGTGCATTCAGTCATTAATTAAAAAAAATTAATCGATAAACCATAAGTAAATTTGTATGCACAAATTTCAACATTCGGTATTCATTGCATTGCAAAATCTGAAAACCGGTCATGCAACCCAAACAAATAATGCAACAAGCATGAAAAAATTTGAGAGTACTGAATACCTCATTCTGTTCTTGATTGTTCAGAATTTGTGTTCCAGGAGCACCCCCCTTGTCGACTTCCATGCAACTTTGGCAGGGGCCATCACTATCATGTTTTTTAGAGCTTGTGTGTGACCCACAATTGATACAGGTAGTCACACCCCGTTTTCCCTTCTCAGACCTTGATTTCTTCATTTTATCTCCTTTGTTACATTTGTCTCTCCTCTTTCTGGCCTTTTGAGTAGAATCATCAAATGCAGAAAGTAACTTGCTTCCAACACGGCCATTGTTAGAGTTAGATTTCACTTCAGAACTCTCATCCTTCAGTTTTAACCCAGAACGTTTCCCTAATGATTGCCTCTCCTTGCATGAAGAACGAGATCTCTTGTCTATAAATTTATTTATCGGGTGCAGGCTGGGTTTCTTCTCAATGGTGATATCTTCACATTTCGAATTGGAGCCTGCTGTATATCCATCCCTGCATGACCGGCTTGAATTTGTGTCACAAGATAAATTAGTTTCCAAGATCTCTGAATTCTTTTTGGCATGCATTTCAGTAGAATGGTGAGGATGTTTTCCCTTGCTATATGATTTCTTCTTTTCACTAGCTGAGTTACACCCCATTACTAACCCCTTATGAGAATGAAGTCCCTTTGTTACTACCTTACGTTTTTTGATATTTTTTGAAGCCTTCGTTTCCCTTGATATTGCATCTGGCGAGCCCATTGGCTCCACAGAATTGGTTTGCTCACGACAGGTAGGGCATTGCCACTTTCCAAGAGGGGTGCGCTTCAAGTGAACCAAAGTAACTAAATCAGTTTGAGTGCTGCACAAAATTCATTTATTTGCCAAGTACTTACTTAAAGAAATTATGGATGAAAGATGCAGTGCATACCTTGAGTGGTGGACTAAGACAACGGAAATGATAGGTGCGAGGGCAGCTATCACAACATAACAAGTTGCCACGAGTATTACAAATTACACAGTCATAATAGTGCTGCAAGAAAAAATTCAGATAATTACAAGCCTAGCCAATATAAAAGGTAATAATACATGAGGGGTACAACTAAATTACCAATATTGGGAATATTGGTATGCTTGATATCAAAAAAATCAGAACATAAGAAAATCGATCAAGAAGTTAGCATGAAATGTAAGAAAGGAAATGTAAGGCACCTTGATATACTAACATATGAGAACTGGCTGAGACTCCCATAGATTGTAGCCCTTACACCCCTACTGCAAAACTAAAAGACTAGAATCCCTTTTATGCAAGTTGCAAAACATGTGACTCCGAGTTTCATTGTAATAATTCATTTTGCCTAATTCTGAACATCTACTTTCTCACTATTTTTGCATTTAGCCAGCCAAAAAAGCAGGAACCAAATATCAAAATTCACTTAAATTTTAGGAAAGAAATAGAAACTGGAGGAGAACTTTCTTATATTTGAGTTTCTTAGCTAAAGAAGAAACAAAAGAAAAAATAATAAAGGAAGTTATTCTCCATACATAAAACCTAACAGAGAACAGAATCCAAGCAGATAAAATAATCTCTTGGAGATACTCAAAGTGGGAAAGAATATCGCATTTCCTTGCACAGCAAATGCAATATTTGAGATGTAATTCAAACTTGTTTGATGGGTTGATAAGAAATTCCATTTGTCCTATTATTAAGTCTTAGACACATCTCGTGCAGAAAATTCGAACGAATTAAAGCACTGCATCAGTATCTTCTCAACTTTCCTGGAAATCTATGCAGCAAGTCAAACCCCTAGGCTAAGAACTTATTTTGCTTTATGGTTGTGTGGCTATCGTTCCCATGACAAACTCATAAAAGGTTGTCACTCAAGTACACAACATCTATTAACCATATCCCAAGAATTCTTCTGGAATTTGTCAGAGCATCTGATGGTTCAGGTAATACAGCAGGCAGCAGCTCATGCAGGATGGCAAGCATTCCAGAGGAAACATCCGAGATTAGCAACTTGTTGGCCTTCTCCTACAATTTATTACTTATGGCAGGTATATAACTTGTTATTTGTGAATGACCTTGACCACATATATATATATATATATGGGAAATGATATCATGTCACCACTGGAAATCCATATTTGTATTTGTACGATCCGAAATTTTGTATACACACTCTCTTCATCTCAATAATCAATTTAAAATAAAACAAAATTTAATTTGCACCCTATGTATGGTCAAAATGAGTCCCCTCCAATAATGAATATAGACTGTCCATTTGGTGAATTTCAAGATCAAGGCCTTTAAGAACTCAAAATCAATTTTTTCCTTTTTAACATTGTTAACCTAATGACAATAAAGTTATCTAAAAAATTTGGAAAGGAAAAAGATCATTTTAAGGCCTAGATCGGAGCATCTCCCAAAAATGGACGGCCTATGTTAACTAGGCTAGAGAAACACATTCTAGGTTGTGTTTTGAAATTTTTCTTTTTTGTGATTGTGTTGTGTTTAGAAATTTTTCTTTTTTGTTATTGTTTATTAGAATGAAAAGAGTGTATATTTAAAAATTTGGGTCAATCAAATGGCCCTAACATAGGTTTTTGAAGATTGTTTCATTATATTACTATACAACCATTGCATGAAATCACTCCCATATGGAAGCCACTACGCAATGCCTATGGGCGAAAATGAATATTGTTTTCGACCATAGGCTCCGTGATGTCCAATTTTTTTGAACGGCGTGGATTAAACAACTACAACGGACCTACTATGTCCGTTGCGGTACCGCAATGAACATAGCATATCCATGACAGTATTTTTTCAAGCAAAAAAACACGGGAAACCGCCACGGCTCCCGTAGATCTATGGAGGTTTTTAAGGCAAAAGCTATGTCCGTGACGGAGCAAAACACTATTCAATTTCACCTATAGGCATTTTTTAGAGTTTTCCTATATATATATGGCTGAGGTTTGTATAAGGTATCAACCTTAAACAATCACAGTAAGGTGCATCTCAAAATCTCATTAAAAGATGTATTTTCGGAGCCGAAACTCTCATCACGGCCTAACTGTCTATTTTTCACCTCTATTATGAAATTGAAAGTTAAAAAAATGGTGCAAATCTAGCAGATCTATGAACACTTGAAAATCTTAAAAATGGATGGTCCAAATAATGTGTTACACGATGTATTATTTCTAATACTTAAAATTCATTTTTTCTTTCATATCCATACATATCAAGGTCAATATGATCAATTGGGGATTTTCTAGTGTCGATGGGTTTTCGAGGTGCACCTCACTTCTACAGTACAAGGTTGACACCTCATATAAACTTTTTCCATATATATGTATGTATGTGTGTGTATATATCTATATATATATATATATATATATATATATACGTTAACTAATATACGAGCAGCTACAAACTAAATAGTATGTATACTAATAACAACGAAGGTATAGTAGAAGACGTAAGTACGAACTAACTTAAACTACTTACTACTTACTTAA